AATTACATAGAATTGACATCTCTGTCAAATTAGACAGTATATTGCCAAATCCTTAAAGGGTCACATAACAGTTTTTCAGACCTTAAGATCTCCATTGCAGATAATGTATTGTGCTGTTTTATTGTGAAAGCAGTCAAACACAATACATAATTGAATTAGTATGGCTTTCTTCCAGTAAAACTTAATTTACTACAGCAAGGAGTCTGTGGACGTGAGTTTTTTATCCCTGAACTAGAAAATTAGCTAAATTAGAACCTAAAAATTAGTAAATTAACTGAGTCATCTGGTTAAAAAAAAAAAAAGCTGATAATCAGGAGTAATATTAAATCAATACTGCATGCCATCATAATCTAAATAATGTAAGACAAGCACTATAAGGAAGTGGGACAATGTGAACACTTTCCAGTTATAACCATTATATTTCAAATTTGTATATACTTCTGACATGCTCCAACTAAAAAATCCCAAAGAAATTATTGTACAGAATCTAAACTGCCTTCTTTTCTTTGTTAGCATGGTCCAGACCAAAATGTTGTCTCTCAGCTGCCCTGTTGTTATAAATCCACCTTGGTCAATGACTTCAACTATTTTGACTGTCTAAGCTGCTATAATTGTGTTAACATCTAGAATAGAATTAAATATTATCACAGCTATTAAATAACCTAGTTTAGAAAACTTGAGTCGACAATAAAAATAGGCAAAGGTTACCATCTTTAAAACAATTATATTTTCCAAAGATTGCTCTTGTTTTTCTGTTATCTGAAATAGTTTTATTCTTATTATTTTCTCACCTGGTCCATTATACTCCTGCTATGAACGAAACCATTGGTTATTTTTCTTTCTCTTTCTGGCTAATCTCGCTAAGCATGATCTTTTCCAGCTCCATCCAATGAAATAGTTTTAAAGGAAAGAAAGTTTTAATTACACTTGATCAATTTGTTATTTTCCAGTCAATTAAGATATAGATGTATATTAACCTGAAACTCATATGAACAGTTTGTGTCAATAATATGTAAAAAGGCTCGATCAAATCAATTTGGAAAAGTACAAAAGTGAGAAAGCATGTAATTGAAAACACTTCATAGAAGAAAGTTTTAGTGAATAGCCAAGAACATACAAAAATATGTTCAACCTTATTCTTTTGGTCTAAATATTTAAATCTATGTAACTATAAATTATTATAACTATAAATTATTATAACTGTGTAGTTAAATAGATGTATATATAGACACATGGAAACATACACATGTAATGTAAATTAAATTGTCTTTTTTTCGCCTACTAGATTAAAAGATACATGTGTTATAATCTTTCCAAAAGACAGTGGAAAATATGGATCAGATGGAAATGAGCAAATTTTGACCAACAAATATTTTTAGAAATTTACCTATAGAGAGTTTTCAAAGATGTATATAAACTCAGTTACTTAAATTACTACTAATTTCCTAGTTTTATGACTTTATAACAAGTTGCTTATAATTTTACAATTATCACTAAAGCTGAAATTTAAGTAACTGAGTTTATAGTGATAATTGTAAAATTATAAGCAACTTGTTATAAAGTCATAAAACTAGGAAATTAGAAGTAAAAAACATTTCCAGTTGGATTATATTTAGCTATATGTGGTAACAAGTATCAAATTAATTGATTATGAGTATACAGGCTTTTCAAAAGTTCATTTGTCCCCCATAAATGGAGCACCAATTATGTATTGGGCGTTAACATTTTGTTTCCTTCATGTAAAGTGATAATATGTGTCTGTTTGGATATGGTCAATAAATCAATTTCATAGAAAGAATGCACAAAATGCTAATACTTCTGATTGTTAGTTTACTACTTAATTTGCATATGAGGCATGTGTATATGTAGTTTCAAATATATGCTTACAGGTATGTCATGTTGCATTTATGCATAGCATTTATTGAGTTTTTAAGTACATCTACCACATGCTGAGATAAACACAAGATTATCTCATTTCATCCATGTAATAACTATATAGAGTAGAAAATTTGGCCTTTTTTTTAAAATAAGAAAGATGAGTTTGGTCATGTAATTCATCCTATTATTCACAATTTAAAAGACCCATGGTATCACAACGTTTGGAATATAATTTAAAATGTTTATTTTGCTAAATCCATTTACAAGGTGTCATATATTCCAGGAACAAGTGGAAATGATGAGTAACATGTTGATTTAGGGGAAATTCCATGGTATACACTCACCAAGACTGACCTCTAAAAGTAAGCCATGTCAGTGCTTCAGGGATGGGACACTGTGGTCCTTAGCAGAAACCATGTCATGGATAAAACAACAGTATCCATGGGATCTCAAAGTCCAAAGAGAAATGGCCCATAAAGAGCAGGTCACCCTATGGAAGAAACCAACTTTGGAATAGACCTGATAACAGACAATCCTTGACATAGTCCCTGCAAAAGCTAGTGAGAATCTGAGTGAAAAGGATACCTCAACTATTGAAGTGTTGATGTCATACTTTCCTGTTGGGATCCTGTTTCAACTGTAATTTATTAACAGATGGTCTAGATTCTAGCAGTTTACCCTTGAATATGTGTTCCATAGTCACTGTTTATCTGGATTCATTCTAACTCTGTTCTAAAGAAAATGTTTTGTAACTTGCAAGTGCAACTAGTTAGCAATTCTATGCTAATAGATAAAATGTTGGAAAAAATAAGCAGTGGGAATTGTGATGTAAAACCTGCCTAACTACAGAACATCAGAATAAAGTGTGTCTATTAATTCTACTTACCTATAATATTAGGAGTTCCCTGTGCTATTCTAACTTTACTTTCTTATCGTTTGGTAATTTGAGGGGAAATATATAAAATACTTGAAATTGGGGTTCCGGAACTTTGAAAACACTTGAGAAAAATGAGTACAGAAGAAAAAAGCAGTCATAGATGGGTAAGAATGCATTTGTCAGAGAAACCATTTGAACTCCCAGCAGCAAGCCACCTCTGCTTTTGAATTTGATACAATTGAAGAAATTTTGGACAAATCTGTTTAAGGATAAAAAATCTGATTGATGGTAAGACATTTATAATGTCACTAAACTTTTCTGAGAATGAATGAGTGAATAAGGAGGGTAGAAAGTTCTTCATAGAATGCTGAAATAAACATAGTAAAAATGGAAGATATAAAAAAAGCCTTTGATAGTAGCTGTACTAATTGTTTCAACCCATAACCACTAAAGAATGATAAAATCCATTGGAGAAAATATGGGGGGAAACAGGTTATTTGTATAATTTGTGATTATCCATAAAAGGAAAATAACTTCATGGTTATTTTCATGGTAGAAACCCTGGAATATACTTGTTATTTGAATAACAAGATGAAGGTTTGTACCAACTAGCATGTGACCATCTATTATTATTGATAGAAAGTAGTGAGAACATTGCTTCATTTCTGTAGTATTTTATACTATAGTGTATAAATTTGAATATACTCAGAAAGATAAATCAGAGCCCAATAAGTGACACCCTATCAAAAACAAATAAAAGACAAGTTCTTAGTCTTTAAATATTAATATCACTTCGGAAAATGGTTCAATTTAAGTCAAACTAAGAAGACTTGAAGGCTGAATATACATTGAGTTGAGATTTCTATAAAACCTTGAAAGGAAAAATCACTGAAATTCTAAGATCATCAAATACAGTATTATTTAACATAGATATTCATTTCCTAATATTGGGAAAGATGTTGCAGTTTTAACAGAAAATCCTTGGGTTTTTTTTTTTGAAAGATGTATTTTTATTATGTACTGAAACTAGGGTGTAAGCCAGAGATGCAGGATTGAGAGGATACAGTAGCCAGAACAGAGCAGAACAGGTAGATCTACTGAAATACACTGCTGAGGTGAGCACTGGAAAAGACAGGAGAGGTCTGCTGTGCCATGTGGTCAGCTCCTTGACTGGGGATCCAACTCATGTTGTAACGGCTGGTGATAGCTTGATAGCACTGAAAATTAACCCCTTGCGCAACCAGGGAGACCCCAGAAAACCCTTATTTTTAAGAAATAAAAATGCTTCAGTGCATGAAGGGACTTTTTAGCTTTAAAATTATTTGCATATCATGACATGAATATAAGTGCAGAGATAAGTCATAAAGGAAAAAGGATTTGTATGGCAAGGACTAGAAGTGGGGAGATGCTTGCTTGATAAGAAAAATGACATACTGAACCAATTCTTGTACTTAATATTTTAAAGCAAATTTTGTATATTTTTATCTGACATTTTTTTGTGATCTTTTCTGCAGGTCAAAGGCTATAACGAGTTTACTATATTTTAGGAGGAGAGGTAAGTTGCTACTGTGCTTTTGAAATTCTTCAATTGTTGTAGCCAGTGATTTAGGAACATGCAATACTTTTCATTCTTTCAAAGGCCATTGTGGGAATTTTTATGATAACTGTTATCCTTTAAAGATTTGCCTATTTTAAGTGAATCCTTATAAATGTTTCTTTTCTTTTTAAAAGTCTGTTTTGAAACAACCTGGGTAACTTTCAAAAATCATTGATATACTTCCTTTTTATAATTCAGATATAATTGACATGTAATATTAGAAACATTGTATGCTATTTTATTTATGAAAATGATCTTATAATTAAATTTAAATGTGTCAGGATGTTTTTACTGATTGGCACATTTAAACTATAAGTGCTTCCATTCATAGGTTTACTATAATCACACCTCATTTCCTGTCATTTACAAATGCTACCCTGCCCCACTATTCCTTGATATTTCACTTCACTATATTTGTGTTATATTTTCACAGTAGATTTTGTCTAATTTTATTAGAACTACCTAAGGTTCTGTTTTCTTGTACTATGTGTACAAGAATTTCATCATTAGATATTATGTGAAATGTCTATAGTATGGTCACTGTTCTTCACTCATAATGTAGTAGGTCAGTTTGAACAAATAAGCCCGGCTGTTGAAATGATTATTTGGTGGCAGGGTGCTTGTCTGGATCAATGATGAGAAAAATTGTCTGAGGATGCTGAGGGACTCATTCCAGATGTCAATCTGAGGTCCAGACCAGTGACCCTTCATTAGGACAAATCGGACTCTCAGAGCCCGACTCTATTTGATGACCCCTATACTGGTGTAAACTTGTTTTCTTTCTTTTGAACAAAGCATTAGTTTCTTATTTATGAGGCAATATGCTCCTTTAGATATACTGATAGACTAACCCAAGTCTTGCTTTGTTTTCCTCACTTTGTTGAACAGACTTGTAGACAGATTATTTTATATAGGAAATAGATACTTGAATAATGAATGAGGAAATACAAAAGAAAGATTGAATTAAGAAAGAGTCGAACAATTGTGCTGGGTACTGAGAGTCTTACTAGTGTTGGGCTAAAAGAAGGGAACATCAAATGCCTACCTTAAATGTTGACAAGAAAACCTGTTTTAGTTCTTTGAGTGTTGGGTATTTTTGAGACGATGTCTTTGTTTCTCGTTCTCTCTTGTTTATCTGAGGTAGAATGAGTGGATGAAAGGTGGCTTCTACTTTTAGAGTGGGGTGAACAGCAGTACCAGGATCTTCTGAAAGTCACATGTCACCTGCTTTGTGCAATGTCCTGAGGTGTCTTCAGTGGCCTACTGTGTAAGAGCTCATGGTCTGTCCCACGATTTGGTGAGTATCCCTTCCATTTCTAGTTTTTTTATTTTATTTTGATTTTTTTTAGTTTACTGGCGAATATAAGTTTGGAAAGCTGTTAGCTTATTTTACATTTCCTATTGGATTAAAAAACATCCTTTTGTAAATAGCAACTTGTCGGAGACTCTTTGCCCCCAATTGTGGAATATTGGGGGGCTGAACAGACAGTGTCTGAAGGTGGGAGCAGCCTTAGTGAGCAGAGATTCCTAAAAAGGAAAGGGGGAGCTGGTGGGAGGAAGACATGAGCATTGGAGTTGGGTGCAGATCTTCCTGCTCTGGTCTCAGCAGAGATTTATTTTATACATTTCAAGCAAGCAGTGGGATGACATTAGCATATGAATTGGACTGACTTGAGGATCATCCTTTTTAACAGTTTGGAGTCCTACTGACCTTTACCTAAGACCATAACATTATTCTTAAAATCAAAATTAAGATGGGTACATAAGTACATAAAATTTAAAGCTAACATTATTATATTTATCACAGTGATGATTGGCTAAAATAAAGTCCCTTTAAACCTTAAATGATTCTTTATGACCTTCATTCTCATTGAAACATCTTGGAGGGTAAAGTAAAGTCCAGGACTAAGAGGCTGGGTGGAGATAGGAAGGATAAAGTAAGGTCATGGGCGGCTTAGGTGGAGTAATTCTCTCGCAGGTCAATCACAAAGAGATACAGTAAAGTTCCTTAAAGCTGAATAGAGGATTTAGGTGAAGTTCCTTCTTTGAAGCCTAAACAATAAAAAACTTAAGTAATTCTTTAGAAACTGAATACAAGGATTGTGTGAGATAGTAGAGAGATGAGATTTGGGTTCTTGTCCCTGAAGTCTGGCAGTAAAATAATTCTGATTATTCTAATACTGCCTTGTCTTAAGATATTAATTTTGTTGTAATTGTTTTTATTAATTAGCCAGTTGTAATATTTTTTTATTTCATGAGTATTTTCCTGTCCTGGGGAAATGCTTGCTCACCTGAGCCAGGCAGCACCTTATGAGGCTGAGGCAGTCCAGTAGAAAACTGATGGTTTCTTGGAATATTTTGATGATTATGAAAAAAGGGGGGTCATAACATGAACTAGAGTGGAAATTCTGATTTTTCAGAGCATTTCCCCTCCATCCGGACTGTGTCTGATGACAGAAGTTCCATAGCTTGTGTCAGCAACTTTGCTTAGGAGTGTCTTTAACACATTGTGATTTCAGAATGTTGTGCCCATGATTAAGATCATCATAGATCTTTGTAGTTGGATTCATAAGATTATTATGGATCCCACTTGCTATTTTTCTTAAGATTTGACTTTAAATAATTTAGTTTTGTTAGGTGTAAATTATTCCGTCTTAAGAAAGTTTGCTAAGGTTTTGGAGCCAGTAAATGATGAAAAATCATGGAGCACTTCATTTCTCTGAAAAACAAAAGAGTTCAACTTTTCATGTTAGGTTAGATAATTATATAGAACACTAATGAAATTGCATATGTTAAATCATTGATAATTAATTGTTGTTAAAATGGAAACATCCAGTAGTACCCATGGCTGAGTCAAATTCCAGTCAACCTATGGACATCTCTGGCAGTTGTCCTTTATACACATGTTGGTTAATAATGATTGCTTGCCTGAAACTTGCATAATGCTATTATGACATGTTCAATTAAAATAAAAGAATTATAATATAGTGAAATTAAAATAAATTAGATAACTGATTTAAAGCATTTGTTTGTTTAGTCCAATTCCTGGACTTCCTCAGGAGAATTTCTATTGTTCAACTTTTTTCTTCTTCAATTTGAGGAACATATTTTGTTGTTTTTTTTGAATGCCTCGTACTTTTGTTGAAGATAGGATATCTTGAATATCATAATGCAGCAGTGAAAATCAGATGATCCACCTTCCCTGCGTTTGTTGTTGATTTTTGTTTTAGTTTTCTATGGTGTGTGTCCAGCTTAGAGGCATAATATCACACAGGACTTCAGTCCTGCCTGATGGATAGAAACATATGACAAGTGGGTACAAGTCTTGTACAAGGAAAAACATGGGCATGGATTTGTTACCTGAGAATTTGACTGTTTCTTAAGTTTGCAGTTGATTTCTCTACGTTTTATAGGTGGAGGTAGTATGGAAAGTACTAACTCTACAAAGAAAACATTTTCCTCCCTGGAAGGATTCAGGAGTCCCAAGAAGTGTGGCCCAGATTGTGCACCACGCCCACAGATAACTGACAACGGAATGCAACACTGTATTCCAAGGTCTGCATTTTGTTTAGGATTTTTGTCATAAACCTGCCTTAGGAGCTGTTTATCTACTTCTTCCCCCAGCAGAATAGAGGTATTTTCCTCCAGATTGCATGAACTCTTTCTCTGGCTCAGTGACTGGGCTCTGAACCCTCCAGGTAGCTGGAGGACTCTGAGGCTTGGGATTGCCCAATGACTTGACCAGCCTCTTTGAATGTGCTCGGATCGATGATGACTCCCCTCAAATGCATTCCTTGGAAAGCTGAACAAAATGAGTGAGAACTCACTACCGTCATCGTCGTCGTCGTTCTCATCGAAACTGAGGTCCAGCACATTGTCAGATTTAGGGATGGTAGGTGGGAGGGACAGTTTCCTCACTCATGCAGCCATCACCCAGAACATCTACATTTTAGTCCTATGTTCTTAGGGCCCATTGTTCCCCTACATTAGTTGTGTGTCTAGAGAGGAGATGAATAGTTGTATGGCCACTGCTTAATGATATGGTGACTAGCTCACATCCTACCATGAGCAGTTGGGTCGTATGAAAGTATATTAGCATAAGCCTAGTAAGCTGATGGTATGGCTCTGATTGATATAGTTGCCACTTTCGTGGTTCTCCTAGAGTTTTTAATCTTATAACCTTAGTGTGAAATTTTCATAATTTCTGATTAAAGCCTATGGTTCTCCTACAGTTTTTTTTTTTTTTTAAAGATTTATTTATTTGTGCATACAGACCTGGGGTACAGGCCAGAAACTCAGGGGCGGTGAGAGGCTTCACCAGAGACAGAGTGGGGAGCAGAACAGGCAGATCGACGAAGTACACTGCTGAGGGGAGCAGCGGGCGGGCCAGGAGAGGTCTGCCACACCATCTGGTCACCTCCGGGGCAGGCGGGGATCGAACTCATGCAGAAGCGGCTTTAGATTCTCAGTGCTGTGCTTTAACCCGCTGCGCCACCAGGGAGGGCCCTCTCCTACAGTTTTTAATCTTAGAACCTTAGTGTGAAATTTTCATAATTTCCGATTAAAGCCTATGGTTATCGTTGAAATTTGTTATAGCCTTGTTCTCTGCAATGAATTAGAACTCTTCCATGCTGTTTAGTCTTGGACCAGAAACCCAAGGGTGGCAGCTATTATGTCACATACTTTTATTGTTCCAGTGTTGGCTGATTTCCACCAAGTGAAGTTTACATATGAAAGGTTGCTGGACATTACCCACATTGAAATAATTTCTGTGCTTTGGAAGACAGAGTGTAGAAAGAGTCAGTTTGTTCTGGTAAGAAGTAGTAGTGGTATGAAAGAGAGGTTCCATGGCATATTTCAGCAGTTACAGAGATTGCTATTGATAACTTTTCTTGGGGAATCACCAACTATGTGGCATAAAGTCGTTACATCAAAAACTATTATCCAGGTGTTTTATATATAGTCTTCATAATAATACATGAACATACAAGCATTCATACACACCTAAAATCCTGTTAGCATACCTAAAGTTCATATAAAGAGGATTGTCCAAGGGAAAACATACACTGAGCTTTCTTTGAGCATGGGTACATCTGATGTATGCAAATGATTTCTCTTTACTTCTCAGGTGGAGTTGGTATGGCACCACGAACTGCAAAGGAAACAGGACATTCCTCTCCTTAGCTGTCAGGAACCATGTGGGTGATGCAGAAAAAGTATGATCATAGGAAGGCACCACGCCTATGGATAACTAAGAAAGTAAGAATCCTTTGCCCCAGTTTCAGCCATTCCAACTGGTATTTCATGGGAACTTCCTAAGAGTCTGTTGGTGTCCTGTATAACATGTGTAACTGCTGGAGGGAATTGATTTTTGCTCAGGAAAACAGGTTTTATTAGGACCCTCCAGGTTGCTGTAGGACTGTGAGTTCATTGGCTTACCCGTATATAAAGCCCTGCCTGGATCACAAAACTTTCATACAGTCTGATGTGCTCGGATCGATGATGACTCCCCTCAAATGCATTCCTTGGAAAGCTGAACAAAATGAGTGAGAACCCCTACCGTCGTCGTTCTCATCGAAACTGAGGTCCAGCACATTTTCTGATCCAGGGATAGCAAGAGTGAGAGATAGTTTCCTCATTGTCATACTCAAACAATCACCACAAAGGGTATCAACATTTGAGGTCCTCCATCAGAGTCATAAGGTCAATAATGTCTCTGCATTGGTTGTAAGTCCAGAATAAGAGTCAATTGTTTGAAAGACCCTCATTAATAGCATGGTGACCAGTCCCATTATCATCCTAAAAGCTGTGTAGTATGGTTTTGCCAGGCCCTGTCAGTTGAAGGCATGGAATTGTGTTGTTAGTTTCCCAACTCAGAATTTCTGCTGAATCTGTTTCTAGCAACTGAAGAGCAGAAACTTCATATTTTCTGATGAGCAGCCATAGGAGGTAAATCTTGTTAATTCTTTTGCTTTGCTTTCTTGAGGAAAGTTGAGTTACACACACAGTTGCATTGGTTGGTGGTTTAAGAGGTCAGATAACTGTTTCACCCTATGTATAGTAACAAGTATGATGCCAAATTTGATCATATTACAAATCTAGTGTAGAAATTAAAATGCTATTCTGACTAGTGTCCTTGTTAATCTAATTCCACTGGTGTCTGTGGCCACAGTATTATCTTTTGTTCCAATCACTGTCATCAACCTTCAAGTTCTGTCTTTGCCTATCTCATGGATATCAGTTGGTATCCACCACGGACTATTTCAGAGTCCATGAATTGTGTGAGGTAGATCTGCATTGATCACTGTTGCTCTCAGTGAAGACATGTAGCCACCTAGTGGTTTCACTGAATGTCTCAATGGGACCCCAAAGACCCAGGTCTGTGGCCTGCTACCATGTTCCTTAATACAGAGACTGTTTCCTTTGATCCTTTGACTCCTTGGGTATATAACATCCAAGGTAAAAGCATGACAAAGAGAATTCTCATACTCTGATAGTTGCTTTAATCCTTTTTGAAAGTTTTAGGTTTATTCTTGGTAGCTTTAGGTATGACCACAGCTGTCAGAACTGCAGGGACAAAAGTCTATCTTGGAAATTGTCTAAGAAATTGTTTTTTTTTTTTATTCTATTTGTCATTGATGTCATTTTTGGAGCTTCTTGAAGTGTTGTATCAATGCCTTAAATGGAGTCATCAATGCAGAATCCCATAGGATGGTGAAATCCTTCTTTTCTGGTCTTCCTGACTGAATAATAGGTGCTTATATTCCTGTGGACTTCATTTGTAAAATTTACTTCTGGTTTCATGTTACTACTTAGGACAATATGTCTGAGTGTTTGTTTAAAAGTTACTGAAACTACTGGTTGTGGAAATGTATGGTCCCTAGGTTCAGGGTGGTTGTAGTGGAACACAATGGCTGTCCAACAGATTTCCAACTGGATTCATTTGTATTTATGTCTTAGCAAGAAGGTAACCAGATAATGATAGCTGTAATGCTGTAAGTACAACTGTGATTAAGGTTACAATGGGCAGTTTTGATACTGTAACTAGTTTCCTATCCTGTAGGTTCCAATCTCTAAGTGGTAATCAGTGTTTTTGTGGCTTCTGGGTTTTTACCAAGTGTTGTTTTCCAGAGATTAACTGGGGGAACATTTTTTCCAGCTTGATATCTCCTTGGTGGTGAGGAGTAAATGTGGATAATGTCTATTTTCACTTGTGAGAAGGTTGTGTATACTTCAGAGGCTTATGTATTTCAAGGTTGTATCCTTTGAGAGGCACAGTCTGGCACAGTAGATGTGACACAGCCTTGAGGCCCTGATCATGAGCACAATGCATGTTCTGCAAGGTGCTGAGGCCTCTGTACACACACTTTGTTGCACCGGTGCACACATACCTATGTGCACACTACCACAAAATCCTTAGTCAGATGTTAGGGAAAGAAGTACATGATTGTATGTCCACAGAATGCCCTGTGGATCTTTTGACAATGATCTTGTTCACTGAGACCTGGTTACCTATCTGAATTGTATATATGACTTCTCTATACTTCTTAGGTGGAGTTGGTGGTGGAAAACTCACCATCTGTACAGAAAATAAAGCCTCTGTCTATCTGAAGTCCAGAAGTTGGTGAGAGAGTGAAGTTGTATTTGGAGTGTATATATCATATCATCATGGTGGTAAGTTGTGCTTTTTCCCAATTCCTGAGTCAGTTGCAGGATTTCAAGACCCACCTGAGAGTCTGTTTGCCCTTCCTTAATAGTTTCTTGGGTTTCACTAGAGTTGGAGGAATCTCATTTTTGGTTTGTGCATTGGTTCTGAACACTCCATGTTGGTAGGTGGCTCTGGGTCACTGACTTAGCCACTGAATGACTCAGCATTGATTATTAAATTTTGTAGCCCCCCCAAATGTGCTTTGATTAATGATGACTCCCCTCAAATTCATTCCTTTGAAAGCTGAACAAAATGAGTGAGAACCCCCACCATTATTCTCTTTGAAACTGAGGTCTAGCACATTTTGTAACATAAAATATTAAGAGCTAGTGACAAGGTCTCCTAGTCATCCTCATTTTACCACCACCTGGGATATCAACAATCGATTGAATATTACCATAGATTTAATAGTCATTTCATGTGTTGGGTAACCAACACTGATTAAATTAGTATTCATTCATGATTTTGCACTCAACACTAACATAAATCTAGAAGTAGAATAATGTTTAGTTGACATAGCCCCTTGAACTAAGGACATGGAATTGAGTTACCTGTTAGAATCTCAGGACCACACAGGGGTATCAGTCTTGGTGCTAAAGGGCAAAGCCACAAAGCTTTGATTAATAATAAGGTCAGTAAACCTGGGTTTATTCTTATTTTTGACTCTGTTAGGAAATTTGAGTTCTGTATGGATATGGTGGTGAGTACTTGGGCAAATACAATCACATTGATGAAAATGGCAACTCTGGTGTGTTACCACCAAATCAATCAACCCACAAGATAGTAAATCATAACTATGGTATAGATTTAATTAAAGATTTAACATTGAAATGACAATGCTGAGCTATACCCTATACAGAAAGGGAAGTGTAAGAAATGAATGGTAATAGCATTCATTAGAAGCAGACTTCATTCAACAGAAAAAGACTTTAGAGGCTTCTTCTATGGAATGTATGGTCTGTTGTGTAATTCATCCACTGTCATAGTTTCTCAGCAGAGGACGTTCTGGTTGCTGAGAGGTTGGAAGCTATGCCTATCTTCATCCATAAATATGGTGCTGTGAGTGTTAGGTGCCCTTCATTAGAGACTGACCCTATTCCAGGGCAGTGCTGCACAGCAGGCATTCTCTAACTCATACCTTGAAGGTACTCATTGGCACAGGATGACTTCTACCCTTGGTAAGGGAATACCTAGGGGAATATTCAGTTTGAGCTTTTAACCTTTCAGCATGGAGGATACAAGGTGAAAATGTTACTTTACTCAGGTTTCATTTTTCTGGAATTTCTATTATCCTCTTCAGAGACCTTAGATTCCTATGTGCAGCGTGTGAACATAACTGAGTTTGAGTGCTGTGAGCGCATCATACATGGGCAGATGTCTGCTTAGTAACAGCTGCCTGGTCCATGTGCAGTGCTGTGTTCTCTTTTCAGTCTTTCTCTTGTGCTCATGAATGTAGTGTTTGAGCTCTGTGAGTTGGTTTTATTTATGCAGAAGAATACTAAGTTGAGTCACACGGGATCGCTTTAAACAAAGAGTAAATTCTTTATGGCAATCCCTATGAGTGATAATTAAAGCCAGCATAGGAAATCTAGTGTGTTGATGATATTTATTATGAGAACTCATTTCCTAAATTAAGGGTTCTTCTAAGGAGGGCAGGTGTTGGAGAACTTTGTCGTGATTGACCAAAAAAAATTGCTGTGTGTGTGTGATTGCAAGTTCATAGATGAATTGTGGCTAGTTTTAAGTGGGTTTATATATACCCTGGGATGATATGAGAGAAAACCACTCGTGTAATTGTTAGTATAACCTCTGTGGTTTGGAAATAGAGATGGACTGAGAGGTAGTTTATGTGAGTACAGTCCAATGCATATTTCAACAGTGTTGAAAAAAAGTTAACTACATTCATTTCAACTCATCAGAATTATACTGTAAAGCAGAAGAATATCCAGTCAAAGCCATCGATGAAATCATTTTAAGAGTTCAGTCTAGATACAAAATGTTACATATGTTCACTTACACATGCATCTGCCAAATTCAAACAAGAAAGAGACAAAGGTAGATAACAGGAAAACAATACTTGTCAGGATAAATGATAAGTATTTTCTATAAGCTTGGGCTGCTGTGATGTGCCCACTTTGGGTCTCAACGATTGGCCCCACGGCACTATCACAAACCATCACTCATATTGCAGGACAGAGCTGAGTATCTTATTTTCACAGTATGAATAGAACAACGTCACTAATAGGAGATTACTAGTTGTGTGGAAGATGGAGATTTTCTAAGGATCAACTAGATAAGTGAACATGGAAATATTATTGCCAAACTATAAGTTTCAAATAAGATTTTAACATGAAATTAGAGATGATTCTACTGACTTAAGATACAATAAAACTTAGGTCCAAAAGATGACAAATATTTATTTACACAAATATGATGACTGTGGAAGCAGAAAGAGAAGCAACAGTTACAACTAATAGTACAGAAAACCAAGGAAACAAACTTGGGTTTCTAAAAGTCCAACCCACATAGAAGGTGCTCAGATCCAAGATGACACTATTCAAATGCATTTCTTGGAAAAGTTGAACAAAATGAGAGAACCCTCTACCATTCTCATCTGATCTAAGCACTGTGTTTGAATTGGGACTTTAGGCAAAAAAGAAAGTTTCCCCTTGAACTCACATTTGCATATACCAGCTAATAAGTTACCATCACACATTGTGCAGACTTCAATCCATGAATTCCACCACAGAGAGAATGGGTTCCTGTGAAGCCTAGCTCCTTGATTAAGTGTCCCCTCTGTGGCAGGGTGTGGTCCCCACTGGCCTATCCCTAGAGATCGATCATACAGGCCTTCTGTCATTCATCAAGGAAAGTACAGATTCATAGCAATGGGCATTAGGCCCTGGAGCTGTTGGCAACATCATGTTCCTTGGTAACTTTCTTAAGACTTCATGTACTTTTTCAAAACCACTCAGGTGCTGGTAGCATGAGAAGGACAGCGCTTAGAACACCAGAGGTGCTGTTGGCATACAAGGCATGTGGAAAAGAATAATCTATGCATTGGATGCCCCAAAGGGTAAGTAGCAAACTAGGCTCAGACTAGCTATGGGTGCTGGCAAGTAACAGACATACCTGGCCGGAGGATGTTCAGACCCAGTGGAAGTAGGGCTTGACTCCCAAGTATGATCTTCCTGTCGGAAAAATGGCCTGCACTTCTACTGGGTCTATGGACCACATGGCTCCCTAGGCCACTTGGTTGCAGTCTACATCCTCTCTGAATGTGCTCGGATCGATGATGACACCCCTCAAATGCATTCCTTGGAAAAGCTGAACAAAATGAGTGAGAACCCCTACCGTCGTTCTCATCGGATCTGAGGTCCAGCACTCTGTCCGGCCCAGATGGTAATAGAGAAGGAGAGGTTCATGTGACCACAAACAGGAGGCCGCCAGCCATGGGACAGGAGCACAAAAGGGGCCTCAAGTCCATGTTTTCACCCAACACTAGCATATGCCAGTGAAGTGACCTTCATTGGTCCAGTGGCTGCTGTGATGTGCCCACTTTGGGTCTCAACGATTGGCCCCACGATACTATCACAAACCATCACTCATATCGCAGGACAGAGCTGAGTGGAGCAAGAGCACTAGGCCCGGGGTTAAACTCTGGTACACAAATAGTCTGGGAACCTTCTGAAGGTGTGTGTTTTCTCTCCACACCTCTCAGGCGCAGCTGCTGTGGAGGGAAAGCTGCAGTGCACAGAGGGAGGAAAACCTTGTGAGAGACAGCAAGTGCGGCCGAGTGCGGAGGAGCATGACTTGGGCGCACCTTGTAGATGCTGACATGTGGTAAGCTCCCCTCACCTGAGATAATCGGGATGGGTGCCCCCAGAACTGCCTGGGGGGGCTCATCTGCCCCTTCCCCAGTGTCAGTGGGGATTGCTCTGGTGGACAGAATCTCACCTGGCAGGGAGAAGGGCTCTGTACCTGCAGGCTTCTGGAGGCCTTAGCTCCTGGATTGGCTGGCTAGCCCACTCCCTAGAATTCTGAGAGCCCAAAGCCTTCTCAAATGTGCTTGGATCGATGATGACACCCCTCAAATGCATTCCTTGGAAAAGCTGAACAAAATGAGTGAGAACCCCTACCGTCGTT